TTTTTTTTTATAGAGGGTTAGGAGGACTTTTGATGGACACACTTGTGGATTTGGATAATTTACTTGGCACTCACAAAAGTTTCCTGCTTGGTCAGTGGTTGCAGGGGGCTCAAAGAAGTGCCTTTGATCCAAAAGTGAGCTTGGATTTTTAAAGTATATTTTGTAAAGAGCATTGTTTGAATGCATTGAGTTTGCTGTAAAATTTTTGTTCATGGATTAACTGCTATATAAATTTGTCTGAAGACACAAAGGGTATTTTAAGCTTGATAAAAAGAGAAAGAAATACTGCGTTTTTCATAGGTTTTATGCAAAATAAGAATTTTTAGTCTTAACTCCTTATTTTATGTTCAGGAAAAAAGTGAATTTGATCTTAAGATCAATACTGTATCTACTTCAGAACCCAAAAGGTGCCCAGCATATTTGAGTGTGACGTTTTGTGCAAATTTTCTAATTTCTTGTGCTCATTGTCCTTAGGTCATATCATAAATGAAATACAGTATAGGAAAAAGAAAGTGGACTTTAATTGGATTCTCCTTTTATTTGATCATCAATTGATAATTTTTGCAGTTTTGATTCTTGAAATGTTATCATTTTCATTGAAAACTGGGGTGTGCTGTGGAGATTGGTTTTCAATTAATTTGAGCAGCCCAACAAAAACTTGTGTTCAGTCATGATATGCAAGGCATGTGGTACTAAAGTAAATATGGCACAGTATTGTGATATTTATGACAATTGTTTGTTTTAGTATTGATTTTTATTTCTCAATTGCAGGATGAAGAGAACCTGAGATTCAATGCCATGAATCAAATAACCTGGTGGGGACCAAATGCAGAAATTCTCGACTACGCTTTCAAGCAATGGTCTGGTGTGATCTCTGATTATGTGTTACCGAGATGGAGTGCCTTTATTCAGTACCTGGTCACCAGCATTGTCACTCAGCACAAGTACAGTCAGGCTGAATTTGATGCCCTTTCTGCAGCAGTGGAAGAGGAATTCATCACCTCTTCTAAATATTATTCAGCAAAAGCAAAAGGTTGGAATTCTTTAGGGGTATCATTTTTAGAAAGCTTTCTACATGGAATTCATAATCATGAAAAAGATAACATAATAAAGACTTTGACTATAAAGTTTATGCAAGAGAAGTTATCTTCTATGGGTATGTTGCAGTTTGAATGAGATCTTGTGAATGAATGAATGAACAGAACACTTTATTTGCTGCTTTTCAGCGTTCACAAGGTTCAATCAAATACCACAACCAAACCCCCTTCCCACCCAACCCAAATCCACTCAATGACATTTTAATCACTTCAGATCAGGAAAGCACAAATTGATAACAAAAATAAAAGAAAATACAATACAACATGAAATACAACTGGACATCTGACATGTATGCATACCCCCATTCACTCCCTGACATTGGTAACAAAATATATGTAAAAATTAATTTAAAGCACAAGGTCTTCAGCTTGTTTCTGTATGAGGTGTAGTTGAATGAACAAATTAGAGAGAATCTTTGATGAGAAATCAAATTAAGTCAACAGTTTATCTTGATCCTTTAAGATTTCAGAAAGGGCCTCTTCATTGAATTCCAGTACTTGTAAATCTTTCTTAAGCTTGTTTCTAGCAGATCTTGTGTTTTTTGCAACTTCTTGAAAATACTGTGATCTAAGTAGTGCATGCATTTTTTGCTTTTTTTTGCAGGTGATGTTTTGGAAACAGCTCAAAAATTGTTCAAGAAGTGGAGCATCATAAATTTCTGAAGTGCCTACTTTTGGACGAATGCTTGAGAGAACTGGAAGTTGTTGCTCATTATGTTTCTATCGGGAATATGGAAGAAGCCCCTTTCGAAAGATGTTTCTTCTGACACAAAGGTATCAATTACTGCAATATTCTGTGATCTATCTTGAGGCAATGGAGTGAAAGCAAATCGTTGGCATTTTGAAGTTATTTTTTGTTGGTTGGTGAAATATTGCAAATTTGACTCTTTCAAGTTTTGAATTGCCTTGGTTGAAAGAATCGGGAAATGTGAACTTTGGTCCTGTTCAGCAACATATCTTTGCATGGTTGCACTCAATTGATTGAAATACACGTTCCACTTTATGAAATGGAAAATCCTCTTTTTTTTTTTTTTTTTAATATTGGTGAATGATTTCAAGAACAAATAAATTTAGGCTTGTTAAGCACATATGAAAACTTCAAATTCGTGCGGAACAATGCTGAATGTGTCATAGCTAAACATATTAAAATCTTCAGAAAATTTA